AGGAGGCCTGATAATTTGGTGGTCAAAATAGAAGATGAAATGATGAAATGAGAAGCAAGAAAGTGGAATGAACATCAGAAAGGGGGCCCTTCTGTGAGCATAAAAGACAAGAAACGGTCAAGCAGAGCGAGAAGAAGCGACCAGGGATGAGGAGCTGTGCAGGCTGGGTGGACGGGTCGGGGCGGTAGGAGGGTGTATGTAGGGGAAAGTGAGCATTCAGGGACAACACAACGAAGATAAGCAATACTGGCCAAAGGCCCTATGGAGCCACCTGGGTGCCCCGCCGGCGGGTCTAGTGATACGTTTCTTTACTTTAGGTGCGAATGCAGGGGCTTCAATCGTGTCTACAGGGTGATTGACCACCATTGCGCATTCAAAGCTTTTGTTTTCATAATGTTGCATAAGTTTGGTGTTTTCTTTTCAACACCCTCATACCCTGCCTTTCCTCCTCGTCTTCCTCTCTCTTTCCCGGCACTTCTCCGCGAACTTCCCCACCACCGCAAAGATCTCTCGCCTGTCCCTGCCCTCCCTCCCTCCCTCCCTTCCTCTCTCCCCAAAGTGACACACAGCCTCCCACACCTCTTGCTTCTCCTGCGGCGTGGCCAACACTTCCGGCACGGCGGCTTGCAAGGCGGCGTAGGCCCATTCCCGAAGGCTGGGGGGAGGAATGGTCTCGGCAGCACGCGACAAGACTCCGCACAGGCAAGGCTTCTCTGGGTGATTCACCAGCTCGCGCGCACTCTCCCCTGCAAGGCCGTGGAATAGCTTGAAAAGAAGGGCGGGGCCCAGGATGGGAGGGAGGGGATGCTGCTCGGGAGGAGTCGTGGCGGGAGGAAGCGAAGGGGAGTGAAGCAGGGAAAGAATCCACTCTTGCATACCCGCCGTGTCGGAAAGCACCGAAGAGGAAAAACCGTTGGGGGCGGCGGAGGAAGTAGGGGCAGAATGGGGGAGGGAGGGCTGACCGGCTGAAAGGAAGGTTTCGAGGAAGTGCATGATGGCCCGCTGGGCATCTTTATGCTGGAGGGTCACGAAGCCGACGACGGCTGCGAAAGAAGGGAGGGAGGGAAAAGGAAAGAGGGAGGAAGAAACGAAGCAGAGGGCATGAGTGAGAGTGTGAGAGGCATGAAGTGCGATGTCCGACTGGCCCTTCCGGCTTACCGGACTGCAAGAGCGTCTGCGGCAGGGTGGGCACCAGCATCTCCTGGCGACGGCAGCGGTTCATCAACGGGACAGGGCAGTGGGCGAAGAACTTGGAGGCAAAGTAAAAGTACTCTTCCACCATGTCGGGGTGGTTCTAGGGGCAGGGGGGAGGGCGAAAGAGGAGGGAAAAGTCACGGAATGGGCGCTGTGCACTGACCAGGGGAGGAGATGAGAATCAAACCATTGAAGCAGAAGTCACGGCCATCCTGCAGGACGAGTCTTACCGTGAAATCCTCGCCGTTCCGCAACACAGAGGAAAAAACGATCTGGGAGGCCT